TAGGTAATTGTATTTTTGCTATATATTATCACCAGTTACATACAGTGGGTACGGAAAGTATTCAGACCCCCTTAAATTTTTCACTCTTTGTTATATTGCAGCCATTTGCTAAAATCATTTAAGTTAATTTTTTTTCCTCATTAATGTACACACAGCACTGCAATATAACAAAGAGTGAAAAATTTAAGGGGGTCTGAATACTTTCCGTACCCACTGTAAATACATCATGGTTATTGGAATATTTGCACACATTTCAAGAAAGCTAAATTCAGTCATTTTTAGCCTGCAATAAATAAATAAATAATCAGAAAAAAGTCCTATGAAACCTGGATGGGACTGATTAAATGTCAGCAAATGTCAATTTAGGTATTATTTATAATAATAAAATTATAATTTTAATAAATTATTATTTGATGATTTTTGCTCAATATATTAATAAGATTCATTGTCCATGTTCCAATTACATTTTGGCAAAATGTTGGCAATATCAATAATTTTCCTAAAATGCTAAGAATACTGATTTCAGCTAACAGCCACTATCATGATTTTAAAGAAACCATGAACCTCTCCCTTGTTTCTTATTACCCATCAGCAGGACAGTTCACACAGAGTAGGGTGGCACCTAACCTGGATGTGACTGACACTTCAAAGTCCTGCCAGACATGAGCACCAAGCAGCACCAATTACCTCCAGACCTCCTTATTGACAGGAGTTACAGAGCCAGGTGCGTGTTAACAGTACTGCTCTATTATGGGTGGGGTTTTTGTCGCTGGAGGCTAGCGGTTACATCATGCTGTGGTGGAGTCAGTATGTGCTTCTCACTGGGTGATTATATACGCTCTAAGTCCGTAAAATTGGGCCAATGTGCCGTGTTAATATGAAGGAATTTTCTGTACTGATGTTTCACATGTGTTTTACCTGTATTTTGAATTACACATTGCATTGTGCTGTGTTTTAGGATTGAAGGAAATGTCCGAAAAATGAACAAAGCATACTGGTAATTTTCTGCCAGGATATTATCAGTTTTTCTATGGATGTTTTTTCTTACAGTGTACAGGGCACATACAATAAGTGTACGTTAGCTAGAAAAAAGACAAGTCTGTGCTCACTGGGAAGAAGATAGTAAGTGAAAGAGGAATTAAGGGGATTGTTTTGTTAGTCTTTGATTTACTGTTTACTTCCAACCCAGAAATGTATATAGAGGCACATATTTGAGCCAAGGTTGCTTACTTCTCCAGATTAATTTACCCCAGCATACTAACACACAAACCACCTGTACACAGCTATAGCCACAATATCAATTGGTACTAATTAGTGGGGCATTTAATTTACCTTGTTATTTATAAAAAAATATGCAAAAAAATCCATTATTATTTGCAATGATATTTTGTTGCATTTTTTTTTCCAGGATTAATTGTTCTAAATGAAGAAGTATTGAAACGTAATAAAAAATGATCAATTAATTATTCTTTTAAATAGAGTACAGCATGGTGCTCGCTACTGCTTCTGCATACATCATAAGCTCTTTCATTCACTTTAACTTGCAATTATTTTCTACCAAAATCTGATTTGATAAGGTGTGAACAACAAACTAAACCAGCCATGTCAGTTCCAATTTATGGTTTTATGAGTATTTAAAAGGACCAGTCACTCAGTGTTCAACTCACCTAAATGGTCAACTAAACTGCCAACAAAGGATTCATGAGTTTACTTGATCTGGATAAGTCAACACAGAAAAATCCTCAGAGCACAAACACTACAAGACTTAATCATAACCTCCAACATTAAACACCTCAAATCACTTTAATCAAACAATAGGTTTAGAGTAAATACAGTGTGCCACACAGCTTGAGCACAATGCTCGGCATTGATCCAGGGTCGGAAAATAAAGCGTCAACATAAAACACTGTATAAAATCTCTCCTAGGAACACTCCGCAGTGTTCCTGTGGATGGATCAGGTTTTCTTGACACAAATCCACAAACTCATTCAACTATAAATCTAAAGGCTTTTCTCACTATAATATTAATACAAGGCCTCTGTAACATCTTGATTTTGAAGCCTATAAATTCAAAATTATCATCGCAGAGAGACATTTTTTCAGTACAACTGTTGCACACCTGTAAAATCATGCCACATGAAACCTGCCTGGAAATGATTCTTTGTCTGAGCGTTAGAGTTCATTGAGACTTCAAAGAGACTTCAAAAAGTTTTGTTACATCTATTCATTCCTTGATGCTTGTCCACAATTAGCCAAAATGTTTAGGTTCCCCAAGTGTTTGAATAACCATTTCACTGACCTATTTCTGCGGTGATGACACCCAACCACAGCTTCACTACACTAAACCCACACTGATGACTCACAGCTGCCTGTCACACTCACACCAACAAATCATTCAGTCTGTGCTTCAATAAACCTTTCACTCATTCAGTCGGTTTTGGAGGGAAATGTGGCCTAATAACTGTCACATTTTGACAGTTGCAAATATCCCATTTGAAGAGTAAAATAACAGTGAAAGAACATGATGTGAAATGTATTTGCATGTAAAATTTATGAATGCATAACTCACTGCTTCCACGTGTTACCCTGGCAACCCTGAGACTGTAAAAAGTGGTCTAAGAGAACAAGCATAGCGACAGTAATTCAACAGTTTTCAAAACTGTGACAAGATGGAGTGGCAGAATCTTGGTATTTTAGTCAAAAACATAAATAAATAAAAATAAATAAATAAAATCCAAGCACTTCCTGACAGACAGGTGACTGTTGGTTCTAGAATCCTTTGATACACATATGGGTGAAATCCCTATAGAGGTACTATAGGTACTATACACACTAGATGTGTGCTTTATTGTTTCATACATAGAGATAGTCTGATTATCATCGGATGATTGATTATAGATGATTATTATGATTATAGACTGATTATCAGTTTATCAGTATTCTTTACAGATTTTAAAAACTTTATACAACATATTCGGTTCTCAAATATCAGGTTAACCATGAAATATCTGGTATAATTCTTTAAAAATGTCACCCAAAAATGTCATTTTTAGTACAACATTGCACCTTCAATGTAAAATATAACATTTAAAAAATAATTAAATAAAACGGTTGCAATGAAGCCTTTGTGTACTTCTTGCCAAAACATTTGTCGTCACAAGATATTAACATAAACAGAAAATTTAATGTAAATTCTGATATCCTGACAGACCTACCTTGTAACACTCAGAGTCTTGTCTTTTTGACTTTTGTTACCCAAATATTATACTAATAATATAATTAAATATTGATTATATATACTGATAACATTCAAAATAATCCAAATATCTCAAATGCAGGAAATTCCTCTCAAGTGTTGAGCAAGTTTGTCTGCAGCTGAGAGGAAGGGGAGTTCTGGAGAGAGGCCTACCTCCTCCGCACACAATAAACCCTGTGGAAACCCACAGAAGTTTTCGAGGACAGGTCTGGTAGCAATTACCAAGCAGATACATCCAAACTCTGACTGAAAATGCACGTCAGTCCCAGCACATAAACTGCTTTCATTAATATTTTAAGTAGAATTTATCAATATCCTGCCCTGCCACAGTCTTACAGCTTTTCCTGGAACCAACATGGGGGCAAGTTCTGTGGCTTTCCCCCACATCCCAAGATTTTGACTCAGCGTGTGCAGTCAGTCCGATTCGCTCTGTTAGAAAGAAATAAAGAAAGCTTCACATCCGATTTGATTGTGAACTTTCCAGTCGTCTATATTTGTGGCAGTCAAAACAATCCCAAGCCATACTCCGCAGAACCCTTTCCATAAAACAGGTCACTAAAGAGTCTGCAGGGTCACGGTAAAGGATTCTCATGAAAATCGTGTTTTGAGGGCAAACAAAAATTAAAACTGAAAATGAAAACTAGGCTCACATCAGGAGTTCAGGAGTCACAATTTGGTGAAAGCCCAAGTGTAAGTCATGCAAAAAGATTTCAGTGAGTCAGGCTAAAGAACAGTAAGTGTTTCTGTAAAACAGACCCAGGCTGAGAGAGTAGTAGGGGGTAGGGCTGCACGATAAATCGCATGCGATATTTAACGCGCATCTTGTCAGTAAAGCCGGTTCTGTAATCAGCGGTAAATCTCCATCACGTTCGGGCTTTCACATGGAGCAGCATTTACCACACAGAGCCGTTGTTCACTGACAAGCTGCGCAAAACCACGATCATATTTCGCGCATGTTTTGCGCAGCTTGTCAGTGAACAATGGCTCTGTGTAGTAAATGCTGCTTCATGTGAAAGCCCGCACATGATGGAGATTTACCGCCAATTACAGAACCGGCTTTACTGACAAGATGCGTGTTAAATATCGCATGCGATTTATCGTGCAGCCCTAGTAGGGGGGCATGAAAGGGGCAGAGACCGTTAACATCTGTGGGTCTGATGTCTGGCATTAATACCGAGCTATGGAGTTCATTCCAAAATAATAAAATGACAAGTTTGGTGAACTAAGGGCCTGAGGAATTGCAAAAGTCCAAAATACATTTAGACAACTACTCAACTAACTACTTTGTTAGTATTCTCTACCAATATTCAAACTTTTTAGGTTATATAATTGGTTCTCAGATATCAGTTTCACCAATAAATTCTGCCATCTGGTAAGTTTTTAAAAATAGCATCCTACAATGCCATTACACCACTGTGCTTTCAGCTGGAAGTGCATATTATTTGATTATTCAACTATGACTGGACTTTTTTGCTGTTCTAAGCTGAAATAATTTCCGTCGTGAACCAGGCTTCATGCTGAAAGTCAAAAATCTGGTCATAGGGATTCTACACTGTCCTTTTATTAATACGTATAATCAATTAGGAATGTTTTAGCCTGTTTGAAATGTATTTGCTGACCTAAAAGGCCAAATACTAAAAAGTACAAAGCCAAACAACCATTATGAATGAAAATTCACTCAAATCATGAACCATGACACAGTATTATGATGCTATAAATGACTGAATCCAGACGTCATACTCACTGTGGTTGATAAGGAACGGGTCCGTTAGGTGATGTCTTCATGGACAGAGTCAGATGTCCCATGTTGGTGCCGGGCAACGGTAACGGCACTTGACCTTGGCCTTGTGGGAAGATCTGCTGAGGAATGGGACGCTGGGGAATTACATTATGACCGTTGGGATATCCATTTGTATGACCTCCGTTTGGAAGTCCACCATTGGTGTGTCCGTTTAATGGTCCAGTTGGATGAGAGGATGGGGGCAAAGTGGTCTGTTCACAGGACTTGCCTTTAGAGCCTGGCTTACACACACAAATGTGGGGCCGCAAACACATCCCTCCATTTTTGCATGGGGGCGTACAGTTAGCTGTAACAAAGAGAAGAAATTTCATACAATTAAAAAAAAGTCATACAATACAATTAATATAATATAACTTACAACAAAATGTCATATGCTAAAGTTTACTTATATAGCGCTATTAGAGTTTATAGAAGTTTATAGAAAAGTTTATAGAAAAGAGTTTGAGTTGAAAAAAAGAGAATAATAATTTGATGAATTATTAAAAGGAAAGCAAAGAAAAAATAAAACGAAAGCAAAAACCAAACCAAGCAAAACAAAACAAACAAACAAACAAAAAACGGGAAAACAGAGGAAGTGTGGAATGGAAGGGTCCATGGGATCCATAGCCTTCCATTATACATGCATTTCTGTACACACTTCCATTTTGTTCATTTTTACATGAACTGATGTAGGAGTTGAACGGAACCATTCTTATTTTCATTTTATAGTTTAGGTTTTTATTTTGTTTATTGAAAATTATTATTTGTGGTAATAATCAACAGCATGTCGAGCTTTACATAGAATATAACTTTAAAAAGCAGATATTTCTACAATATTCTCAGCATAGTTAATACAGTAGAAAGTCCATAAGGTCATAGTTTTTGTATACTTTTTATATGATGTGGAACAAAACATAAAAATGAAGGTCAGAACTGTTTTCTGCACAGATCATGAGAGAAAGAGCAAAGAGAATGCAAGAGATGCATGAGAGAATGCAGACTAACAGAGAGGGAAAATGAGTGGATAACTGGGTGTTGACTTGTGGTCTGTAATTACATCATTGAGGAGCAGGAACAAAGCTGTCATTCAACTACAAAGAGCCTAGCGGCCTCTGTGGCCAACCTACACACTTGCTCACACACACACTCGCTCACACACACACACTCGCTCGCACACACACACACACACACACACACACACACAAATAGGGCAGCTTGCTGCTCATCAGCAAATTTATAGTTAGTCATATTAAGCGATTGAGTGCTGTGGAGATTCCTAAATAGGAAATGGATCAGTGCCCTGTGCTCAAGGCAGATGTTAGGAAGGATGATCTCAATGACAGTTTCTATGACATCACACTGAACAGCAGCTGCTTTACACAAACTGTTACAGAAAGGCATCTTATCATCTTCATATATACTTGTTTCAGACCTTAACATAGGTCCAGACTTTAGAGTACAGTGAATTTTATGCTATATTCAAAATCACACACTTTTTACTTGTATACAAATAAACATTAATAATAAATCATTATTAATATAAATTTAATTTGCATTTAATTAAGTTATAAACTATATAACAAAATATACCTTCATTTTCATAATAAAAATAATGTTCTTAATTTATAAATAATTTTTCCAGATGCTTCCTGAGGGAGGTTTTATTAAATTTAGCTTACTTTTGAAGACAAACTATACCCAAGCACATACAGACACACACACTTGTCAGAAACATAATTTTTCCATACAAGCAGGATTAAAATGAGCATTTATTGACCACAAATTATTATGCACATGCCTTGTGACAGAGGTGAGAGTCAAATATGACATCATATAAACAACTCCTCCTGGTTTGGAGTTTTTCATTTCAGTTGACATGACCCACAGCAGGGTATTTCTGTTTCTTCTCCACCCTCACTAGGTTTCCCTCCTTTTCCAATGTACCTCATTGGTCCTCTGGGGCTCAGGGTTACAAAGTGAGACGGCCCTTAGAAACGCAGTACACACACAAACACTGTTCTTGTACATATCATGCCCTTGTACACCTCCTCTTCCACATACACACAGAAAATGAACATACATGTGAGCACAAATGTACACAGAATATCATTCTTTCAACTCAAGAACTCATGCCACATACACATTTACATACAGAAAAACTTCTATATGAGTTAAAGGAGATATAGCCTAAATACTAAGCAGCACAACTGTTCTGAACACTGATAACACTAAGAAATGTTTATGCAAAATCAGCATATTAGAATGACTTTTAAAGGATCGCATAACACTGAAGCCATTGAGAAGCAAATATTAATCAATGACAAAATGAGTTATCCCTATACTAGCCCCAGAAAACAATCATTTCTACCACACATGAGTGTTCTGTCTCTCTATATAAACTTATATTGTAACTTGCTTGTACAGTGTGAATCTGTAAGTCAGTATATCACAAGTGTTAGATTGTGCTGACATCCTGCCGACATTAAACATTAGTAAGAAGATAGTCTCACCAACCCTCATGACTAATTCTGTGGGCTACTGTACAATGTGGAGGTTAAACGCTCTGCTCAATGCCTCTTCAAACAAACCTTCTTGCTGACTAAACTTCACAGCACCATAAAGTTAGGCCTCACAAAGACAGAGAGCAGGAAGGAAAGAAAGACTGATAAAGAGAGGGCGATGTTGCTGACTCAGATGACCAGGCTATGGGGAGCAGTGCTGGGTAATTCCAACACGTCCAGCTTCTTATTAGTTTTATCCCTCAAGTCAATATTGAAATCGGTGTTAAATGTGTTGCACTGTACCCTCAACGTGCTCAGCGGTGTAAGAGCTCACGCACAGCTGAAGGCGGCAGACAGAATGGTCGATAAGCCCATTTCAGTCTGCTAGTATTTCACAGTAGACACAGAGCCAATTAAAGGCGTCTGCGGTCGGGCCATTTCTCCGCTGAACTTTATATGTGTTGCACATCTAAGAGCTCATTCAAGAGGATCTGTACGCTGCAGAGCTCTCCCACAGCTCTAACGTCTTCAGACGTGTTGAATCTGAAAGGTACAACTTGGATTTGCTTGGACAAGAAAGTAACATGTGGGTTAGCATGCTAAGCTACTGCCTGAGGACTGAAAGCCTGCAGTGTGAGCAGACAGGAGAGGCATTTCACAAGTTGTTGTGGAGATACTGACACAGCAAACTCCTCTCAAACAAGCCATGCTTTAATTAACCTGGAAAAATAAGCATTTATGTTAACCTTAAAGGGAAAGTTGGCCCAAAAAATTATATTTCTGTCATCATTTACTCTCTTCATGTCGTTTCAAACCTGTATTACTTTTAATTATACTGCTTTGTTGAATGCTAGATTCGAATGGTTTGAATGACGTTCCAAGGTGTTAAGTTGCATGACTATTAAGTACGTAGTTCCAGGTTTTTTTGACCAGATTACAGTTCTATATCACTTTGTTGTGTACTTTTCAAACTCTTAATGGTGGCTTAGGCTGTTTTAAGACTGGTATTTAACCTGTGAAATAAATAAATGAGCACTATAGGGACAAAAACATTACAAAGACATGAGCATGTGCTAATGGAATAATTGACACTGGACCACTGAGTCGTTAAAAATGAATGCAAACACGATTATTCTAAACGTGACTTTAAAGCGACCATACGTCCTCTTATTCCCAGAAATGTCCTGGCCAGGATTTGTCTAACTGTCTAAAACGTCCAGGTTTTAGATTTGTTTTCCTATTGTTTTCATACCTGCTGAAGGCAATGACTGACCAATAGTGTGCAGGCATTGGACACAATCTACCAATGTTGGTGTGCAAGAAGGTGGAATCTACAAAGAAAGGTCAAAGCAATGCAAATATGGTACATATAATGTATGAGGACTGTTGAGAGCATGCCAATAGGAAAACAAAGTCAAAACTCTGACATTTCAGGCAATTTAGAAATCACGGCTAGGACATGTACACTGGAAAACGTGGATGAATGAACATTCTAACTAAACCTTACCCTAAAAATGCTTAATAATTTGATCTGATCCACTTTGTTACAAACTATAATACAATAAGCCTAATCTAAAAATGATTGTTTGTGCTGGTCAAACTGCATTGCAGGTGGTTAATAAAGAACACACAGGTGACTGTACTGAATTACCACATGCAAAAGCGGTGCAACTAGTGAATTCAGGGAACCTACAGAATTGAGCTCTTCTCTTTAGTTTAGGCTCATCCCAGCAGGTTCCTCAACCTAGTCACCTGTTCCTGCGGATCTAGGAAACTTTTTCAGCATGGACAGCCAGGAAAAACGTATCCGTCTCTCTGCCGTGCTGTGGAGCCCAGGTGAAATATTTTCATGTTGTGTTTTATCTGGCGAGGGACTTGAACGCTTGGGCTGTTTTCAGTTGAGGGACAAAATAGACTGAGCAGTCTTTCAGTGGTGAGCTGTGCACACATGCCTGAGCTCAGGAAAAACACTCAAACACTTCAGATGAGCAATATGAGAAATCCAGGCTCAGATGGAAGACATGAGCATTCATTGCATTTTACATGTTGTAAAACTTGTAAAACAAACTGTAAATAAGATGTAAATTATGTAGTGGCATTAAATCGAAGCTGTCATCAATGCAAAAGTTGCTCTCTGGTCCTAAATTTTCATTAGAGTTTTTACCATCCGCAAGCTCTTCGGTGCTACACAGTCTTCCATTGTGCAGACAAATGAAATCACCCATCAACCCATGACTGTCTGAGAAACACAAAAATGCTCTAAATGTTTCCTGATGAATCCAATAAAAGAACTCAGGGAAAGTCTGAGAAGCTTCTGAATGCATATCACATGGCGAATGCAAGCACGAAAACTCCTCAGGGAAGAGAGGACAACAAGGTGGCAGTCATTCTGCAGACTGAACCTAGGCTCACTTCATGACCTCCGTTCAAACAACTTTTAAACATGTCTGCTGTTTTTTCACAATCACACTCCATTCTATTTCTCAGAAGTCTGTTAAATAAGTTAAGCCATATTTTAACACTACATCCTAACCAAAATATTCCAGTAACAAGCCATTGTTGTTAAGGCAAGATTTAGGCAGGAATTCATAAGCTCTCCGTAAAGTAATGTGTAGTTGAATAGGAACAGAATATGGACGTTTACAATTATTGGTCCAATAAGCTGCCTTCAAATTTGTAAAAAGAAATAGTGTTGAAAAGCAATAAATTATTTAAATTAAATCAAAATTCCCTATTGAAAAGACACAAAATCATAAAATAATTAGTCAATTAAATTAATTAAATATATTAATTAATTAAATTCAAT